TACTTCCTTGCGTACGGATGACAGCTGCGTATGAATTACTTGTAGTAATTTATTTTCTGGTGCTTTCACTTCCAGAGACAGTTGTAAGCACTGCGTAACTGCCTCGAGGGTGCTTGACCATTTTAACACAACGTGGTGCGATCATCCCCCTTGCGCGGAGCGAGGGTTATCCACCCCGCACAACATGATCTACTCGACCACCATTATGGTTACCGCCAAAAAAAAAAAACGGTAACCTGGTTGCCGAGTTCACGAAGTGAATTGGCTTGTTTTACAACGTCGTTGCCAAGCGACGAAAACCCAACCCCGATGGCAAACACCGGGGGGGGCGGGGCGGGGGGCGGGGGGGGTTCATAAAAAAGGGACTACGACAGCGGCAGCAACCACAACTACAGCAGCAACAACGGCATCTCGATACTCCCTCTCTTCATCGTGTGCACCAACAGCATGCCACGCAAACATCCACCCGCCCGCGTGGAGTCGACATGGTGTTGGATCGGGTGTCCAATAGTAACACACCGTCACGAGCTGTGGCGTTAGTTCCACGAAGGTGCTATTACCCACCCACGCTGGACGTTTTCGAGTCGCTTCGCCTGTGTCCACCGCAGAGAAACACTGTTACATTTCCTGCACTTCGTTTCGTTCACAAAAGATTGATCTGGTCCGTTGAGGGACCAAGGGCTCAACAAAGGCTCCGCCGCGAACCAAGGTAAGTCGCTAAGTGCTGTTCGTCCACCGGTCGCTCAGACGCCAGATTGCTACCTCTCCGCATCGTGATTCATTGCCCCGCTTGAATGGCCATGGCGGCAGTAGCATTGAAATCCCCCCCCAACACGCTCGTGTTTATTGAGACCATTCTGAAACCTGGCTGTAATACACTCTGGGGTATAGTATATGGCGCGTCGCCGGACGGCTGAACAGACTGTGTCCAACCAAGGCCATGAGGGAACGGTACCAACCCCCACCCCGGCCATGCTTTGTGTTGTTGAGCGCTTGTCATACGTAAAACAAGGATAGAATGGTACCGCGGACACGATGTGGCTTGGCCGCAACTTAATATTTTTTCGCACAAGTAGGGAGAGTTACGTACGAACCCGCAGCAGCTCCCCGCCCCCTGGTTAGTGTTCTACAAAAACCGAAAACAGAAGGAGCAGGCACGGTAAGGCTGCACGTACACAGACGTTTGCTCTGACAACTTCGTTCTGACAAGTCACGAACAACAAGAGGGTAGCGTGCGGCGTACACCATACCCACGGTAACAAGACGTGTCCCTCACTTTGCGAGAGACGGCAGAGTGGGAGCCGCTATCGCCTTGTTAGACTTCGATTTGCCCGCCAAGTCCCCTCTCCTCGCCGCCCCCGCTGCACCCGCCCCGCCGCCACCCCCACCGCCGCCGCCGCCTCCCGCGGCTGCCGTATTACGTAGGCCCCCGCCGCCGCCCGCTTTAGACGCGTGGGAGCCTCCTGTGTCGTTCATTTGGAAACAACGAGACAAGCAAATGTGAGGCTTCGCCGTGATAATGAGATTTTGGGACGGTGGTGGAGATGCAGTTATAGGGGGAGGGGGTGATGGGGGTATCGTTCCTGAAGAAACCACCATTTCCACCGTGCGAAGAATCTGTTGCTGCACTCTGTGAAACGTATTCTCCGCACGCAGTGACAAAGCATCTTCGGGCGTTGGGGGCTCTGGGGTAGCGATTGCTTGTTTCTTTGAGACCGGAGAAGGAAAAGTCAAAACGCAACATGGAACTCCTGTGTGGCGTTCCCTAATGTGTGACCCCCGGCCCCGGTTCGTCCAAGCGACCCTACCGAAAAGTGTAACGCTAGAGGTTCAGGCGAGCAGGGACCCTCACACCTTCGGAGAGAGGAGCAAACAAGTAAGTTCGGTGCCAACACATTACGTTGAGGTGCTACTCCACTCTGTAATGCGGAGATATTAGAGCACAACCTGTTGGACAACATGCAATGCCTGCGGTATTCAACCCTTCCCAAGATTGTGCTCAACCTTGCCCTCTGGAAGGGAGGAGCATTGTCCTTCGTATCAACAAGATACGCCCGCGCGATCCGGCAGGCTGCCGAACGTTGGTTTGTTTTGCTGGGGCCCATAGGCAGGTGATGACTCCCGCACGTCCAACGAGGGTGGAGCGGTGTGCTGTGGCGGTGTTACAACCCCGCCACGCTCACTCAGAAAGGATTTTTGGGATGTTTGAGCTGATGTGGATGCCGCCGTCGACGTCGCATGCACCAATTCAACGGCGGAATATTACAACAAAGAAAGCATTCTTCATGCGGGCATGTTGAGCCCCTTTGAACTTTTTGACTATCGGCCCACTTTCCAGCAGCACCATGGCCAGCCGATCCTCCGTTTAGGCATGGAGGAACGCGAGTACGTCCCTCGGACGCATGCATTATAAAGCGGACGAAAAAAAAACACTCTACACCACTTCGGTCCAGCTTGCGGCGAGACTCGCTCAACGCCCTTCTTCGTAGTGAGTGCATCTACGAAGATCCCGCGTCGAGAGAGAAACTCGAGGCAAGCAGATTGTTTCTCTCGTACGCAATGAGGAGGCAGATAACCCCACCACCGATGTGTGTGGGCACCTTGGTGATCTGGGGGCCCGGCATGATCGGCGGATGTCGACCCCCCTCCCCCCCCCCCCCCCCCCCCCCCCCCCCCCCCCCCCCCCCCCCCCCCCCCCCCCCCCCCCCCCCCCCCCCCCCCCCCCCCCCCCCCCCCCCCC